TGGGAGTAAATTCAATTAGAGCTGACAACTTATCGCCTCTTGTTTCCAGGATATTAAACAAAAAAGAAGTCAACATCTTCGGACAGTTTTTGAGTTATTTTTTTGTAAAAAAAATACTTCTTAGTCGGCGTGTCGGGTATGTTATAGACGGGCCAATGGATGAATTAGTGAGTGAGTGAGTGAGTGAGTGACAGATGTATTTATATCACACCAATCAGATTGGATCTGCTATAAACAGCCAATCAAATTTCTTGTTGTAAAGGTAAATGATATGTGAGAAGATTTGATCCCGATAGAGTTCAGAACGGCCATATTTATTCTACTATAAAAGAGAAGGAAGTATTCATATATTGGGTTAACTTCGACATTTTCTGTGGGTTAGGCTGAGGATTTTAGTTATGAACGAAATGAGCCTTGAGGTTTCAGACAGTTCGTGAGTTAGTAGTATGCAAATGGAACGAGCTATTTTCATTTTTAGTTACAAAGGTAACTTGATACTTTTGTTTTTCACAAGGAGGAAATTCAATTAGAAGTCACGAATCGTCGCGTCTATTTCTTAGGACATGTTTTAGATTTGAAAGAGTTCTAACATTTACAATAGTAAGTGCAGGTAACGATTGTTTTGTTCTTGTTGCATGCAAATTTAACGAGATATGTTTAATTTTTAGTTACAAAGTGTAATTTGACACTCTTGTTTTTCACAAAGGAGTAAATTCAATTTAGGCACGCGAGGCCTGCAAGAGTTATTTCCCAAGAGATGTTTGCTATCTTTAGTTACAAATGGTAACTTAACACTTTTGCTTTTTATATGGAAGTAAATTCAATTAGAGCTGACAAGTTATCGGCTTTTGTTTCCAGGATATTAAACAAAAAAGAAGCTTTCATTTCTGGACGGTTTTTACGTCTCTGCAGTAGCAGTTTAATAGTTTTATTTGATGACATTCATTTCAGTCCGATATTTTTAAAGGTAAAAAGTATGAAAACTGCTCAAATGTTCTTTGAAGACTGCGTGGCACCAAGTTAAAGTGCAATTTAATTAAATCAGACTTTCAACGTGTCAGAGGGGTATTTTTTCTCTTTCTTTCTATTTTCGGTGAAGTAGTGTTGTGTTGTGTTGTGTTGTGTAAAAAGGGTAAACTTACGACTCGTATAAACTGCGAAAAGGTCTCTTAATTAACTTGAGTATTTTTGAGCAAAAATTCCTCTTGGGAGTTGGAAGGGTTATGTGATTGGTGAGTGAGGGAGTTATGCATGTGCGCGTGTCACACCAATCACAGTGCGGGTTGTATCAAAGAAAGAATCAAATTGCCTGGTAGAAAATAAGATGGTATCTACATTAATCTGGAGACGTGTCGGATTACTGTAGTTTGTTCAGTCAAACATTTTATGGCTTACTATTTAGCTTTCTTACCATAACCGATGTAACATCGCATGTACATCATAAATTCCCAGTTTCTTTCTTGCTGTACATCGTAACCAAAAACACTTGTCAAATTAACCAAACCATTACTGTAAACAGCTCCATAAATGCTCATATCTCCGACACTTCACAAAAAAAAAAAAAAAACTCTTGCACGCCTTGCGTGCCTATGTTTGTCGTTTGCCGTTTGCCGTAAACGTCATGCTTAACTTCTGTATTATCTCTTTGGTGTTTTTCTACCTTAGGTAACTACTATTTTCAGGTTTCCTTTAATTTAATGTAGCTTGTGCGTGGCCTAAATAACTCAAAATACCGTGACTGAGCTCCTTTAAGTGCTTTTTATCTGGGTTGCTATTGAAAGATCAGGATCAGAATTCCTTTTTCTGCCTTTGATGGACGTGTTTTGTAACTCCCCATCGGTACTGTTCTAAACGACCAGCATAACATGATCACGGCCTTTATTCTTATAACTTTGGATTTCCTCTTGAGTCAGCGATAGGAAATGAGGTCAAGGGAAGCAGTATCGCTGTAGTCCCGGAAATTAAGAACCATGCTGTTTATATTTTGGAGCCTGGAATCTAGGTCTTTCTTCCCAGACCCCAGGTAAAACTAACGGTTATCGTTCTGTGGAGCCCTCAAGTAACACATCTTTTTTTCTGTCCTGAAGTTTTGCAGTGCTACATGTATGTATCGACGGCCGGAGCAGTAAAGTCAATAACTCCTTTGCATGGAACCCTGAAAAATCCATGTTTTGATCCATTAAAACTTTTCCATTCTTAAATTCGATCCCTCAGCTGCGGGGAAGCCAAATTCCACAATCGTTTTTCATGTTTTTCAGAAACAATTAGAGTAAAATCATGATAGTGCACCTGGTTTTAGGCCCCGTCTACACCACGGCGGAGCAGTTTGAAAACAGAGTTTTCACTCTGGAAACGCATCAAATGTTTTCCGCCCACACCGCGCCAGGGGAATTTCAAAACATAGCAATCACCGGTCATTTTGGATTTGTGTTTGAGGAAAACTCGGTCAGGGAAATCACGTGATTATCGAAACGCCATCGTTTTCGGTAAGCTGCGTTTCCAAATGTTTTCTGTCCACACGAAACTGGTAAAAAGCCGGCGTTTTTCAAATTCCTCCGGTTTGAAGAGCGTCTTTTTCGAAAAGCTCCGTTTTCGTGACGGATTAGTGTGGACGGCGGTAGGCCTAACCGTAGAAATAAAACTGCGTTTTCAAATTTCTCCGGCGTAGTGTGGACGCTTCCTTAATGCAATGAACCTAACACGATAAAAAAGGAACAAAATAGCGTATTTGCTTAAATATACACCGATTTATGGCGCATGGCTATAAAATATAACGGTTACTTGAGCTTTAGATCCGATAACTCGAGATCAAACAGTAATTTGGCGACCACAGGTTACGCAACTCCAAAATAACAAACTCAAATTTAACAATAAATGAAAATAAGTAGTTCTTCCAATAAAGACCCGAGCTGAACGTTTTTACTATACGTAAGCGACATTGATACAAGTACATTTAACGAGCACATCTTTACACTCCGTAACCGTGTTGTTTAACTCGTTAGGTCTATAAAGAAATGCACTGCAGAAAGCTTGCTCTGGAACACCTGCAGGCAAACTAGATGAAATTTCGGGAAATTTCACCTCGGTTAATAAGCAGCAATTCCAACTGCAGTATTCATATTGATTGTAATCAACTATCTTGAGTTTCCTCTCTTTGCACGCCTGTGAGAATTTTATGCAATGATACATAGGACTCTACCATTTCATGTTTGATTGCGAACAAACAAACAATAACTAACTAAAATAAAAATTATGAAAATCCTTAAGAAGATCTTGCGTAATAAAAAGAATACTCGGAGCTGAGAGCGTTGCAGTGTGAACGTCAGAGAATTTCTTGATTTTCGACATCAACCGAATCTCAAACGTGATATGTATGGAAATTATGAATTAGTGCTGATGGCGAATTTTACACGTCTGTTTTTCTTTTCCCTCGAGGGGCTGACACTAGTTCGCTTCATTGAGACGAAATTGTGTAGAACATAACACGAAACGCGGTGAACAAGCCGAGAAACGTAAAAGTTTGTTACAGAGTAAAAACTTACCAATTCAACCTCAAGAAAAACTCGGCATCCTGTCTTTTGCTTCTGTAATGTGCAAGAACTTTTAACTTTGTACTTCTGAAGGCGAAGAAAAGTTGATTTACAAAACAATTATTTTAAGCTAAGTCATGTTTTTGGCCTATTTTAGTCAAATTCTCGAAGCAATGTCCAGGAAAACATTACCTGCAATTTTGGTTTAGACCTCGGCGTAGTAAGATTCGGAAATTTAGTTCTTTGGCCTTTTCTGTGTCTGAGTTTAACAATATTTTATCTTGTATTGTAGAGATGCCTAGGGAAACACATAACACCTGCTCTGCTAAGACAATAGGCAGTCATTTCATTTCAAAGCCTTTCTATATATCAGATAGAATAAAAGACAACAAAGCAATTTAAATGACCTCACGTAGGAGTGGCGCGCGAGTCAAGTTGATTCAACAAAATTTACACTAGAGGCGACAGTGATAGCTGCTCTCTTTACAGCCGTCAATCTATAATGTAAACTAACTAGTACCCCTGAAAAGCAAGTCCTGTAGAACTTACGCCTTCTGAAAAATTTCTTGATATTTACACTTTGAACAAGCCCCGATAAATCGCGGAATTCTCGTATTTATGCGAAGGTTTAGCCTCAATTTAACTGGATATCAATTTAAAATTTTCACATCGTGAGTCTTATCAGACATTCAAGAAGACAAGCTTGTTTGTATGTCGAGACAATTAAACATGTTGGAAGAAAAACATTTCCAACGGTCCTGCGACGAAAAATGTTACAGAGGAAATTTAGCACTGCATTAGTATAGTGGGTTATAGATCAGAATGAGTGTGGTTTCTATTTCGCTTGGGTTTCGAGGTATAGTGCAAAAAAAGTGTCATTTGTTTACTTTGATTTTGTTTGGTTATATTTTTGAGCATTCGTCATGTAACGACGTTATTAAACCAGGAACGGAAATCGGGGAACGGGGAAACACTTGTCAGAGCTTTCTCAGATAAAAAGTTTCAAATCTTACCCTTTATGCTAGCTCTAAACCAAACCCCCCGCCTTAACTCTGACCTTCCGGGTAACGGCCTGAGACTAATATTCTAGCCCTATTTCTAACGCGAGCCCTAATCCTTATCCTAACCCTAACAACAACCCTAGCCCTTACACCAAGACTAATCCTTATACTAACTCTTATGTACTACCAACATTCAGAGCTTGTTTCTGAATCACCTGGCCCCAGTTGTTGGAAGGTTGAATAACGCTATCCAACGGATAAATCGTTATCCACTGGATAAGTTTTAACAAAACAAACCACGCTATCCGGCTGAATAGTGATTTAAACGATTTCGAAGAACCCGGGCCTGAAGATTTAATTTCTATATAATACCGCTGAACAATGGTTTCGCTTCTCCGTTTCCCGTTTCCCGTTTCCCGTTATATTTGTAATAACATCAGTTGCTTACTAACTTGGTTCATTGTGCTGTTACCCCAGTTTGGTGGTCGAGGGTCAAGCTTTCCTACTAACTAATTATTTCAGAAACTAAAACCATGATTTTTAGTCTTTGCTTCCATATTCCGGCCCCATTTTCTGAAATAGGTAGTTTAAAGGGACAGTGTCTTGAACTGCGCATGTGCAACGTTTCAGCGGAAACTTGAAAAGTTCAGGCTGAATCATTCAAGTTTGATTTGACAAATTCAAAATGGTGTCGACTGGTGGAACCAGCCAACGTGGGTGAACAATAAAAACTTTTGGTTGAACGGGTCTAGAGATCGCTAACACTAACGCCCAAGGCAAGAGAACTATTATACTGTTATACTTGTAATTCGGTTAAATTGTAAGAGTACAAAGAAGAACATATGGATACTTCAATGCCATTCCATGACCGACAGAATCGAGTCAATATGAATCGGGGCAAACTATCTGATAGTTATAATCTAACTCATATATTGAAGGAATGCCATAGGGACCTCTCGTTGAATAAGATACAATTTGTCTGGAGGCTTCAAGCCCTCCATTTGGCGAAAATGTTGACAAGAAATGCTAATTTTATGAACGATAATTAATTATTTGAAAACTTCGGGCATAACTTCAGTCGTAGTTAAAAGTTTAGAAAGTGATGAATTTTTATTTTTGGAGCCTAAGCAGTTTTAACACGTATATTTTATTTCAGTGATGAGAGTAGAAAGTTGAAATGATTATCTTTTTGTCGCAATATTCAGTAGTAACGCTACAAATGAGTTGAACCATTTGAGTGATGCTCGAAAATTCTCTCAAATTTGCGCAGTTTGAACAAATTTTCAAATGTCTCGAGTAGTGTATATATGTCATTGGCCGGCTGGGAGGTCCGTATGGTGAAAAACTGTGACCGAGGTCTTGAAAATGAGACCGCAGGCCGAGGGCAGCATTTTCAAGCCCGAGGTCACAGTTTTTCACTATACGGACCGACCTTAAGCCGGACAATAACATGTTTTTATTTTTTTCTCAAGCACCTGAGCGGCTGGAAAACTAAATCCTCGAATTTGATTGGCTTATCATACGCACGTGACCGGTCCAGCTTTTTACGACACGGCCCACGGGCCGGATTTTTTTCCCGCTGCCTAAATTTCGCTCCTGAAAGTTAGCGGTAATCGTCAAT